GATGTAGAGACTCGTAATGGTAGAGAAAGAAGGAGTGTACGCAAAGACTAGCTTGGCGACTGCAAAATTATGTTCTTGTCTGAGGGTCCAAGCATCTATCCACCCGCAGGCTTTAATTACTATGTGAGGATAATGAGTCAAATCCAATCAGTTCTCTCTCTTGCTCTTAATTTGTACGAAGCTTCTATTATGAAGCCAACCGCTTCAGCCCCTCACACCAGCTGCCCTGGAGTGACACCAGGCCCCTCTCTGTTGTGTGTGTGTGTGTGTGTGTGTGTGTGTGTGTGTGTGTGTGTGTGTGTGTGTGTGTGTGTGTGTGTGTGTGTGCGTGTGTGTGTGTGCGCACATGTCTTTCTATTGTATGGTGGACAAATTTTGGTTTGAAACCATCATTGTGAGGTTAGGGTTAGACATGTATTTGTATTATTATTGTAGGTAAAGGGAATGCAAGGGAATGCATTGTGGCAGCGAGTGTCCTCACAACTGAGGTAAGACAAGGGTGTGTGTGTGTGTGTGTGTGTGTGTGTGTGTGTGTTTGTGAGATTGCTGTTTCTTGCACACCGCCACGTCCATGCAAATAGGCTCATATAATTATTGAATTGGCTTACTGTATATCATTATCAGTCTGTGTGACAATTGGTAACCATTTCTTGCGGATGACAGATATTAACAACACAGTTTTATATACCAAGGGAGATGAGTCACAGTCTCACAGTGAGGGATTAGATCCACCTATACATATGGCTGCTGCTGAGAAAGACACTTTGTCATCCAGCTATTATGAGTCTGACAGGCACGACTAAATGGCCGTGTGTGTGTGTGTTGGCTGAAAAGACCCTGAAACCTTAATGGATTCCTGCAGAGTGAAGGACAATCGTAGCCCATGGCCAGTCCAAGCTTATCCTCTGCTCATCTCATCTCAGCTCAGAGCTAGCCACAGCTCCAGCTAGGCCTCAGGCCATCTGGCTGACACACAAGCACGTACACACACACCCACACACACACACACACACTCTCACACTCACTCTCTCTCGCACACACATAGACACTGAATCCCTGAAGTTAAGTTCCACACTTTGTTTGTGAATACACCGTTAAAAAATGTCAGCGTAAATCATTATGTAAGGCACGTCCCGCTGTATTTACACAGTGAACTCCACCTTAAACCCGGAACTTGTCAAACAGTGGGTGCGTAGGTGTGAAATATGTTGGTGTGAAATACGATACAATATGGCAGAAGAAGAGATTTGTAATGGTGCCAGAAATAGGCTAGTTATCATGGTTGCTGCCACCGTTGAGGTGTACCAGCTCAATAATGGCTGTGCTCAATTATGGCTAAATATATACCGTAACAGCTGGGCCAGAAAAGGAAATACCTGGAAAAGAAAATGGATTTGGGTTCATACATCACATTCAGTGTAAAATTGGAGTGGTGATGTATTTATTTATTTATTTTTCACTAAGTTTACATTATTGACATTCAATACACTCATTAGATTTTTCCTCCAGAGCACTTGATAAGACTTTGACTAAATAAATGATTATATACCAAACATGACAGTGGTGGTAACAAGCTGAAATTATCTACACAAACATAAGCTGATCAGCATAAGCACCAGCTATGAAATGGCCCATTATTGATCAAAACAGTGCAGAAATTATCTGTATATTTATTCTCTGCTGTTGAAACAGCCTAGTCCTGATTTAACCAACAGCCAAGAAATTAAATCAACAGCTTCTTGGGCTGTTTTGCCCAAAAACTGAGCTCTTCATTTGACGCTATTTGCGTTAGTGCTCAGCGGCGTGGCAGCAGATGGCCCTGAATAGCCAGAAATGTTTACCACAGAAAGTGTGTTAGGTATGTAAAATATGTTTAAAGTGTGATCTGCCCCCTCTGTTAGGGGCTAATGTTCCTGTTGTGTTGGTCCACAGTGTAAGTGGAATGAGTGTGATCACTCCTGGTGGGCCCCTTCAGTTTCACTCTCCTCTTGGCTCACTGTGTGGTTCTAATCACTGGCCAGCTGTACGCTGCTGTGTACTTACACCACAGGGTAGTTAAGAGAACAGGCCACACACTGACACTATGTATTGTAATCCCACTGTGACACCAGGACTCTGTGTGTATGCATGCATGTAAGAATGCGTGTGCTTGACTGTGAACGTGCACACTCATCTGCCCCGTTTGTCTGCGTATGTGCTAATTTGCTTGTGTGGATTTTTGCATTTGTGTGGGGACTTGTTTGTCTGGCCTCGCCTGCTGTTTGCATCTCTGTGTGCTTTAATTAGTATGCGCTTTTGCATCTAGGCCTTTGTGATTTGGCACAGGCACTGCATGCTGGCGAGGCATAAAAGATTTGAAGTCTGTCTGTGCTAGTCATTCAGCCTTAATGGCGTTAGTTACACAACTGAACTCAAGTCCTCGCTGTATAAATGGGTGGCATTTAGAAATATGAGCAAGTCCAATGGCAGTGAATCATTTAGCGCATCGCTGCGGAGCATGTCTGGGATGACTGACATTGACATTGACCCAGATGGGCACTCCTCCTGAATGGGCAGTGGCTGAAACCTAAGCAGTGCAAGCTCAGAGTCAGGAAGGGAAAACAACTCTGCTCTGTGGGTTTCAGCACTAACAGTGGTAGGGGAGAGGGGCTGACTCAGTGCCCTCATCTGCTGCTGAGACCGTCTGGTGGGGGGTGGGGGGTGGGGTACTGTGTAGTGAGAGCCTCAGTTTATCAAGAAAGATCTTCTAGATTCCATCCTGCTTGACTTGAGCTAGTATTCTCCTGTTCAGATTTGACAGTATGCCCACTATTAGCCTAATATATGCTATGTCCTCCCTCCTGACATTGCAGAGGAGAACTCAGTCAAAGCCCTCTGTTCCTTCAGGGCGTTGGTCAGGTCCACACCTGCCAATCTCTGGCTGCAGTCAAATAGTCTTTTTTGCGTTGGTAGGTTCATAACTGAATGAAATGACTCAGAAGTATCTAAATGGCAGCCATGATAAGACCTGGTCAAAAAGTAAAGGTTCTTCAGTGCTTCCTTTCCTATCTCCTTTAGCATAGGAAACACTGGACCATCCTTTACTGAAGGAGAGGAGATAATGCTGCCCCGCAGTTCTTTGCGACAGCAACATTTAAAGCGATGTACCATTGTAGTGTCACCACAGTGGAGTTACGTAAATGTAGAAACAACAGAGCATCTGTTTTATGCTTGTGATACGATCCAAAACTTGTGGAAATCCTTCCATGCTTGGTTGAACTCCAAATCCATAAATATAGATTTCTTCTCACTCAAATCTGTCCAGTTATGGACAAACTTTCTCTACTTGTATTTCCCTGTCATGTTGTAATCATTATTAGTTTTTGTTTACAACAATATCTATTGTATTGTAGCCTCCTATGAGTGATGGTTAAATCTACCCTTTGTATAAACTGAAAACATCCTTTCCTTTCCAATTCTGTATTGGACAGGAAACCATACTTGAATTGTAGGCCTACAGCATTGACGTTGTCACTGTATTTATCTTCAATGTGTTATAATGGTAAAAGGACTTGCACTTATATAGCGCTTTTCTAGTCTTGCTTACCACTCAAAGCGCTTTACAATACTCACACATTCGTACACTGATGGAACAGCCATCAGGAGCAAAGTGGTTCAGTATCTTGCACAAGGATATTGCGACATGTGGCCTGGAGGAGCCGGGGAACGAACCCCCGACCTTCTAATTCGCAGATGACCCGCTCTACTTCCTGAGTCACAGCCACTCTCTAAATAAAGATGGTTAAAAGAAATAACCTAGCATGATGTAAGTGCAGTCAGATTTTCCTAAATCCTCAGGAATCCTCCTTCACGTCTTTCCTTGACCTCATGAAATTTTCCATCGAGGTCAAGGAAAAGTGGTTAGGAAAGATTTTTTAGACTTTTCGACCACTGCCTCTGACACAGCTCCAACACTTGACATTACTTTCCCCAAAGAAGTTTTGTCAGTTCAGGACCATGGACAGCAGCTCTCTCAGTCACTGGCAGGAGCCTCAGTACAAAGAAACACTGGTTGTTCTTCAACTCCACACATGACTTCACTGCCACATCACTCACTCTCTATACTTCTATTCTGCCTGAGCCCCTGCCTCCACCTGGACTGTAAAGGAAGTCGGCAGCCATTTTGTTATTTTTGTGTGTGTGTGTGACACTGACTGTAGAGGCAGTCGGGAATGTATGCAGTTATAGAGAGAGCTGGAGAGACGGTGAGCGTCTCTCTCTCTCAGTGCCTCTTTGCAGCCCTCTTTCATGCCTCTCAGCCTGGTGCAGCGATTAACCCCGAGTACCCTGCTGTTCCTACTGATGCTTTTCCACATACAGCCCCATCGCTGACCACTGCAGCACACTGACATGCCTCTCAGATGGCTGATTAACAGCAGTGGGTGTGTAGATGCTGTACATACCAGAGGTGAAGGTGCACACAGACATTAAATCTCTTCTTTTTTTTCTTTTTTTTATGCTTGTTCTACTATTGCTTTCTCCTATTCAGAATGAATCCCAAGGGGCTGCTCTGGCACTTTGTTGAGGTAGAATAAACGAAAGGATGCTCTGAAGGACACGCAGTTCTTCTCTGGTGTGGGGATGACTATGATGAGCTGCTGCCTGGCTGTGTGTAGGAGTTTGTTAATGTTTGGAACTCTCACAGTTTGTTTCACAAGTGGTGCAATATCTCATTGGAGAAGCTGGTATTGCTGCAAATGCTTCATGCCAATATGTGATCTGTGATGTTCCAACAGGCTGTGTATCAACTGTTCTGAAATACTACTACTCAGTGAAGGCCAGTCGATAGTTGCTAATTTGTGTTTTACATGAGGACAATAGGAACCGCTTTCCATCCGCCTGCGCTTGTCAAATAGCACACATCATATTTACAATGTGGTCGAATAATAAAGTGCCTCCTAAAAGTGTTAAGGTTCATTGAATTATCAATAACTTTGCCTCTCTCCTTCTTTCCGCTCCAGCCCTGAGCCGGTCAATGATGCCCTTCGGCCTGATGCGTCGAGAGCTGGCGTGCGAAGGCTACCCGATCGAGCTGCGCTGCCCTGGAAGTGATGTCATCATGATCGAGACGGCCAACTACGGCCGCACTGACGACAAGATCTGTGACGCAGACCCCTTCCAGATGGAGAACGTGCAGTGCTACCTGCCAGACGCCTTCAAGATAATGTCACAGAGGTACTTATTGATCTGTTTGGATCTTGTGTATGTGTTTGTGCAGAGCCAGAGCTTGTTATTGGTCCGAGGAAACAGGATACTATTTCACAACATGGTTTGTCCAGAATTTCCTGCCTGTTGATAGGTGTTGGTGTCTTGGGGTGTTGATGTCTTGTGTGGAGTACTGAAATCAGCATGCTTGCTCTGTGCAGAGCACCACTACACATCTTGGTGTATGGTGGTGTATATGTTTGGCTGCGCGTACATGCACGAGTGTTTGTTTGTGTGTGTGTGTGTGTGTGTGTGTGTGTGTGTGTTTGTGTGTGTGTGCGTCTATGAGTATGCACATGTTTTGGACTGTTGCAAGAGAATTTGTAGGGCTTCCTACAGCTGCTCTCTGTGTTTGTGCTCAGCATCTGCTTCCTCTGAGCTCAGATCAATGGAAGCCCTCTCTCAGCTATCCATCACACATGTAATGGAGGCACAGGGTGCTAGCTTGGGGAGAAAGCAAGGAGGGAAGGGGGGGGAGGTTGAAGAAGAGAATTGAGGGGTTAAAGGAAGGAGGGAGACTGTTAGAAATGATGAGATGATAGAGTGAGTGCAGCAGAGATTTGAGATATGAAGGGAGGGAGAGGCAGCAAGGGGGAGAGATGCTAAAAGCTGGATCGAGAAGGATTATGTGACGAGAATAAGTGAGTATGTGTGTGCGGATGTGTATCTTTTCTTCTGTGTGTGTGTGTGTGTGTGTATGTGTGTGTGTTTCTCGGGTGAGCAAACGTGAGAAGGCATGCAGCGATGTGGTTTAGATCTAGGTATTATGTGCATATGAATGTTTTCCCTGTGTGCGTGTGGTGTAGAGTATTTGCCATAGCCCCCCTCGTCCTTCCCTGTTCTCTCACCTCTAATTGCTCCCACTCACAATCCCCCAGGAGAGGAGGCTCTTACGTCACTCGCCCTCTCTCTGCCTCTTCCCTCCCCGCTTCCTTCTCTCTATCCTTCATCCCCCTTCCTGTCCCCCCATCCCTCCCTCTCTGTTTCCCACCTCCCCTCGGGTGCAGCTGTCACATGATCTAGTCTAGTGTGAAATTACTCCCTTCCCTACCGTTTTCTCCGTCTTTCAGAGCCTGAAGATGTTTTTTTTTTTTGTTGTTTTTTTGTTACCCACTCCTCTTTGTCTTTCTTACAATGGCACTTGTTATTTTTTTATCACTTACTTCCTCCCTTCTCTCTCTCTTTTCTCCCTTCCTCCCCCAATCTGTCTCCTCTCGCAGGTGTAATAACCGCACTCAGTGTGTGGTGGTAGCGGGGTCGGACGTGTTCCCAGACCCCTGCCCAGGGACCTACAAGTATTTGGAGATCCAGTACGAGTGTGTCCCTTACAGTGAGTACTGAGACCCTGTCACCCCCTCGCACCTCCCCACCCCCCTCACCCCATTCACCGAACCCTCCCATCCCTCCCTTTACCCCCCACCTGAACCTCTTGCCCCCTCTTCAACCCCCCCGAAAAAAAAAAAAAAAAAAACCCACGACAAATGATATTCATACACTCACCCGTGCACACTTGCTCTCTCTTGGCTTCTTTGAACACGAGCAAAACAAAACAAGACAGACAGTCATCTTCACCCGCTCTCTGTCTCTCTCTCTTCTTTCTCTCTCGTACACTTACACTGCACAGAGACACACACACGCACACACTCACACCGAGCGCTAAACCTTTTTTCTTCATCGACAGAGCGACGCACCAGTAGCTGAGAGGGATTTTCACATGGGGGAAGATGCTCCACGAACACATGGTCCGATAAGCACTTCACACACACCCACTGCAAACGCGGGGTCAGCCCTTATTGGTGATCACAGCAGTGTAACGCACACCGCCCCACTCTCGCACACTGATTGACCCATGGGGCATGCCACTGCCTTTATCTGGTGCCAAACACCTTTGCTGTCCCTCTGATTTCCAATAAAAATTAAAATTGGGCGCAGTGAGACTGGAAGGCAGGGGGCGTTGTGTGTATGCCGCACCTCACAATAGGGATGTTAACAAAAACAGCAAAGGGCTTATTTTAGACCACATGACCTGGAGCGCCACACATTTTAATGTCCCCATGGTAACGGCTGACTTCCTCGCGGTCCTGCTCAGAGCTGCGTGGAGGTGTGACATACACACACGCGCGTGCACACACAAACAAACACACGAGTCTACCTCACACTCGCAAAAAGAGGGGACTCACAGTTGCTCTCTCTCTTTCCCCTGACTCTTCCTCCAGCAAGAAAGCATGCACACACAAACAAGTGCACACTCACACAGCCGAAGGAGCAGACACAGCAAGGATTATATGGTGTTGTGTTGATCCTCGCTCATGTGAAAATCTCCGCTCAGTCTCCCCTCCTCCCTCTCATGTATTATTACTCTCAGCATTGATCCCCTCACTGTGCAGGAGCACTTGGTTGGAGGGGAGGCGCAGTGGTGCTCCCCTCCACCGGGCAGAGGCAGAACTGGGTTGCAGGAAGGGGTGGAGGGAGGTATGAGGGTGTTGGGTTTGTCTGGGTGGGTGGGGTGGAGGGGAAACTGGGGGCCATGGGTCTTCTTGGGGTGCAGGTGGGGTATGGGGTGATTCTCTCTGCTTTGTCCTCAGGTGCAGATGTTGTGGCAAGCCACGGGAACCACGCCAAGCCGCTAACCTTGCTCACCTCTTCTCCCTCTCCCTCTTCCTCTTCATGTCTTCTCTCGGAGGTCTCTCACTCATCCTCCCTTTGCTTATTATCTATCACAGTCAGTGTCACCTCTCTTAACTCCTCTTCTCTTGTATCCTGCTTCTCTTTTACTTCCCATCTGCACTCCAAGGTCTTTAATCTCCATCCACTGCCCTATTTCTTTCATTCTTCTTCTATTTTTACTCTGTCCATCAATCTGCCACGTCTTATCATTCTGTTGCGTCTCTTCCACTGTCTCTGTTGTTTTTTCCTTTTACAGGTGGAACGAATATTCAAACCATTCAACCATTCAGCTCTGATGGGGGAGGCTCAGAGAAACTCAGGGACTTCAAAGCACCTCTTTCAGTCTTTGCCCTTCCTCTGCTCAGTGGTTTTGTGCCCTCGGTTTACCTTTAGAGAGACTTTGTTGAGTCAGGTTGCAGCTACAGTCACAGATAAGAAGAAGTTGGCTGGGTGTCTTGCCTTTAGGGATTATTCTCTGGTGTGAAGCTTTTCTTCACAGCCTTCCAAGTGGCAACAAGTATTCTTCTCGAGTCTCCTCTTCCCTCTCCTCACCTGGCTTTCAGTCGATGTTAGCTGGGGTCCGATTGTTAGTCCTCTGCTAGTCCTGTGCTGCAGTTTGGTGTCCTGTATTGTATTGTCCGTAGGGGGGGTCATAGGTAGTGTAGCTTGGTTGTACCTGCCGCCTTCTCCTCAAGCATTCTAACCTTGTCTTTTTCCCTCTGACTGCACAAGGGAGCTTGTTCTCTCTCCGCGAGGCAATCAAAGGGATGATTAAATAGCTGCTGACTTGCATTTTTCCTCCCCGTGTTTGGAAAAAAACTTTGTTGATTGCGTCTGAAGTATGGCGCGGCTTAGAAAATTGGAAGCTGATCCCTCTATGATGAAAAGTCCCGCCTGTCTGAGGTGACAAAGAAGAGCCAATTACCCCTGTCCTCTGCCACACTCCTCCGCTGGAGAAACACAACCGCCGCTGTTCTCATCCCACACACACTCTCTCTCGCGCTCGCACGCACGCACACTGAAATAGAAACAAGTGTGCGCGTGCGCGACACACGCACACAACCCGCTCACCGCGGCTGCTCTACGTGTTTGTGCTCAGCTGACAAACTAAATATGACCTGACACATTCAGACTCAGAGCTGGAACTGTTCATCCCAAAACCTAGTCACCGTCGCACCGCACGCCACTCAACTCGGCCACTTTTAATTACCAGGAGAGCGGCTGCGTCGCTCTCTTCAGTTCTGCCTCAGCAGAGATTTGTCAAGATTAATTGAATTTGCTGCTGCTAATCGCTCTGGTAATGCCCCATCGTTCACGTCTGGCTGGGAACACTGGGCACTCTGGCATCATCCAAGGCTGATGCATGTTTTCCGCCCGTTGTCTTGACAAAAAGGTGAACAATAGAGAGATGATATGTAAAGGTTGTGTGTCACAGCAGCTGAGATGCTGTGACAGCAATGTTGATGGGTGTGTGTGATGTGACGGGGTCCTCTATGTGCGTGTCACACAGGCGCCATGTTACCAGTCACCTGAAACGGCGAGGTGACAGCCGGAGCTGAGCTGACACGCACACACACACACGCACACACAAACACACCTCTGTTGGCTGAACTCAGACAAGGGTCCGGAATATGAGTGTTTGTGTGTGTTGCTGCGCGTGGGATCGCCTTGGCAAAATACAACATCCGCTTACAAGTCAAATCATATCTCATCGAGCCAAAAAGCCCTGCGAGGCCTCCCCGCCACATAGCATTGTTTTTGCCAGCCGGAACAGAGCAAGACAAAACGGCTCAACTGAACTCTCATTTCACACTGTCACAGCCTGCTGTAGCCTGCTGGATTCCATTAAGACATCACAGATCCATGCACACAGCTGCAGCGTGTACTTACTGCAGTGGAAACCCTACACTGCTGTTTTAACACAGATGTACGCCGAGAACTCTACCTGCCCCCCACCCACCACCCACCACCCCCTCCTCCTCCTCCTCCTCCTCCTCCTCCTCCAGGACACTGTGCTACGTCATTATTGATTCCTAATGCTCTCACTGGGGTCATCCATGCTAGCTATGCCAGAGCCATTACACCTAGTGTTGTGCCTCTGCTATTTCATCAGCTGTGATTTATCTTGTTAATATGCACAGTACAGGTAGCTGAAGAACCGGCTTTAAAAGCGCCTATTCACGCTGTACAGTACAGGATCTGCAGAGCATCTTAGGTAACTCCATATTCTCCACTTTTACGCTCATATTTTGTGGCTCTGCCACTGTTTCACTTTATAAAATTGATTCTTCCCCCACAAATGTATTCAGTAGTGCCTATTCATTACAAGACATCGCTTTTTGGACACAAAGCCCCTGGAAATGATAGTTGACTTGTCTGGAAGAGTTTGTCAGTAGAAGGAATAATGGCATTGTAATATGACAAGTTTTCAGGGGAGGAGAGGAAACACTTTGATGTAGCTGAAAATGAAATTCTATTAATATGTATAGGGGCACCATTAGACGTGGAGCTCATAAATGTTTGGTGAATGAGAAGCAGGAGGCTTCTCTCACGCCGCAGAATGGGATGACACTACTGTGAAAAATGTAAAGCGAGAGAAAGAGAAAGCAGAGAGGGGAGAGGACGGAAGAAGCTGGAGAGGACACACTATCTCTCAGCAGTGTGAAAGAGACGGAGGAGGCTAAGTTGTCCCGCAGTACTTCAACAATGTGTGTGTGTGTATTTGAGGGTGTGTGTTTCTAGCTGTACTCATTAGTGTGGGAGTAATTGATAGGGTTGTAGAGAGCGCTGAGCAGAGTGATTAAGGGGAGAGAGGCCAGTGGCTTATTTCTCAAAAGGGCCCTGAAAGAGAAATGCTGAATGAATCACACAAACAACCAAGGTGGCCTTAAACTAACCTCCTGCTCTCTGTGAGGACAGTTTGATGAGTTTCTGTCTCTATTCTCTGCGTCTGTGCGTGTGTGTGTGTGTGTGTGTGTGTGTGTGTGTGTGTGTGTGTGTGTGTGTGCTTGTGTGTGTGTGTGTGTGTGTGTGTGCGCGTGTGCTTGTGTGTGTGTGTGTGTTGTTGTGTCTGTGAGCTTAGTGTCTATTTTTCAGGACAACCAAGAGCAGAAGAAATGGAGTGAACAGACTGAGGTCTTCCACTTCCCCTATTCTTCTTCTTCTTTTTCTTCTCCCTTTCTGCAGCATTGAAGAACTTTCCTTTCTCTCCTTCTCTCTCTCTCTTTCTCTACATACCACTGCTGTTCATCTCACATGATCTTCCTCCTGTTTAGGCAAACATACTCATCGGCCCATTTAGAACAATTCATTTAGCATACCATGTAACCTCAGACTTGCATGAAGCGGAGAGGAAGTTCTGCTGTCAGTAGCTTCCTCTGGGGGGAAAAAAAAAACTCCATGTCTTCAAGCTCTGCTGAATTCTGGTGTTCCCATGCACCCCCTGCAGTTGTTTCAGTGAGGATGAAAGCCCTGGATGCTCTCTGGCCAGTCTCCCCCTCCCCTAACCTTGGAGCTAATGATTGCACTCGCAGTTGGTGGCGGGGATGTAATGCTTTCTTGCCCCCTGCCCTAGCTTCACAGGACTCACTTTCATAACTTTGCCATGTTTACCCCTCTAGGCTGAAAATGACTGCCATTCCCCAGGTCTTCATGGAGGTTGTTTGTCCAGTTTGATCTTGGCATAAGATGATAAATGATCAGTGTGGCTGCTGATGCCGATGCTGCCTCTGCTGTACCGCTGCCAAGATGCAAGGCCATCCCCCACAAAGATCAGGCTACTGCTGCTAACGCTCCCTTTTCACTCGTTACATCTCTCTCTCTCTCTCTCTCTCTCTCACCTTTTTTCCTTCATTATGGGCAACCCTACGAGGTGTCGTGACAATTTCACAGGGCTCCCCGGGCGACATCAGACTTCCCTCAACACACACACACACACACACACACACACACACACACACACACACACACACACACACGACAATCACGCTCACGGCAGGGGTCCACCAGCCGAGTGCCTTTTGACACGTCTTGTCCCGAGAGAAGTGACGATCCACTCACACGCCACTTGTGCCTCAGCAAACACAGAGCGAAAGGCGTGTGCCAGTGCCTGTAATGTGAGAGGAGGAGCGGCAGATCCTTTTCTCACTCCTCCGCGAGTCTCCAGCTGCTCATGGACCTCCCCGGGCGCAGCAGCACAAGCAGGTTCCAAACAGCGCCACGGGATGCCGAGGGAGCCACGCCTTACCTGCTCATGTCAGCTGAGTCCTGGGTGTGACTCAACACACCAACCTATTGATTTGTGTGTGATGAGCTCGCTGTAGACATTTCTCTCATCTCTCTTTCGTGTCTACCCCCCCACCCCCACCACCTCCCAACCCCCCGACAGTGTCTCTTGGTTTCTCTCTGTGTTTCTGAGACGTTCCAGTCTGTCAAACCCTCCCTTTCCCCTGTTGTTTGTTCTCTTTTTCTTTGATGAGCTAGCATCGGCCAGGCAAGCCGGCAGCTCCCCATTGATTGGACGGTCGATGGGTTGAGTGTTTTTGCTTGCTTCTGTAGCGAGCATCCTGACTCTGTAAATTGAGCAAAGCCAAAAGCACCGCTCTCCTTAGATGAAGGGGGCCGCAACACAAGACACAACACAGACTGCACTTGGAGAAAGAAGGTTGCAATGATCCCTCCAAAGACAACTAGCCACAGATAGAGACATCGCCACCACCCACTTTCCACCTTTCCACCTACCATCCCCCATCTCCTTCTCTGCCTTTCCTACTCCGTCTCTTTCCACAGCTGAAGAGGACCACAAGCACAAAGATGTTCTTCCTCAGTTTCTCTCTCCAACAGGTTTCCGGGGGCGGCACTGTGGGCACAAGGGAAAGCGGGAGGGATGTGGCAGTAAGAGGGGTGGAGGTGGGGGCCGAGAGTGTGTGGTTGGGGTTGGATTGTGTTGTTGGGGGATTATTGATAAAGCTGAAATGAAATGGAAATGGATTTAAACCCAGGTCAGGCCATTTTCCCCTCCTCATTTTCCATTTGAGCCATCCTTTCTCTGAGTAGCCAACCATAACACAGACAGATAACTTGCTTTAAAAAAAAAGAGAGAGAGAGAAAGGACAGCGTTTTATTTAATCTCAATTTTCTCTTTTTTCCTGCACCTGTTTTTCTTTCATTCTCTTTACTTTCCCTCTCTCTCTTCCTTACTGTCTTTCTCTTTTATCTTTCTATCTCCTTCTTTCTCCTTTTTCCGATGCTTGAATAGAAGTGGATCAAAAAGGTAAAGACCACAATGAACATAACAACCACAGCTCGCCCCTTCCTCCTCCCTACTCCTCCTCCTCCTCCTCCCTTGTCTCTCCCTTCCTCCCCCCATATCCCCTCCTAACCCAGCACCTTGTGTAGTGGTCATGTTTGATGTTGATATCCCTCCCTTTTCTTTCTCGATCTCTAATCGCCTCCTCTGCCCTTCTCTTTCTATCTCTCTTTGACTTATAACCAAAACTCTAAAATCCTTCTAGATTTCCTCCTTGGTTCTGATGACACCAGCCTGACCTGCACGCACGCACACACGCACACATGCACACAAACACACCAGCACAGACACACAAAACGGCATCATGGGAGGTCAGTCCAGTATCTATGAGAGATAAACGAGAGATTAACTTCATTCCTTTCCTGTACGAAGTAGCACATCTCAGCCTAGACTTACAGACAGCATACATTTCTATCATCTCATGGATGGCAAATCTCTCCTCTTTGTTCCATCCATTTCAAAAACCACCTCCTTCTTCACGCCGTTGCCTCACACACACCTGATAATGCACTTTTCTCATTTGCATTTCCTAAGTATTGTTCCGCTCATTTCGCTCTTGCGATTTATTTATCCCTCCAGATCTAAGAAAGATTTTCCTCCTCTCTCTCTTTGCATCACTCAGCTGCTCCTTTTTCTCCATACTGTATCTCTTCCACTTTTTTTTTTTTTAGTTTCTCAGGACCGATTCAAAGTTTCTCGTTGCTGTAAACTCAAAGCAAAAAGAAAAAGAAAACACCACATTAAGACAGTAAATGGCCAAAGTTGCTCTCAGATCATTTTTACAATATCCCATTTTCAGGTGCTTCAGTGTCCTTCTCTCATTCTGTCTCTCTTCCCATTTCAATGGGTCACACTTCCATTTAACTCCTTCTCTCTCACTGTCCCCTTACTTATCTCTGCTTATTTTTCTCTGTTGTGCTTCTCATCCTTCCCCTTCTCTTGTTCTCTTTCTTTCGCCTTTCTCTGGTTGGTTTATCTCTCAGATCACATCTGGCCATCACAACCAGCTGCAGGCTCTTTTTGAGCATCTCTTACACTCTCACTCTTTTTCCTCCTCTCCTCTCCCTCTCCCCTTCTCTTTCTACAGTTTGTCACCGCCACCTCTGTGTTTTCTTTGTTGCACATGCACTGTGAACTGTCCCCCCTTCTACCCGTGTCCACATCAGTCAATCCCTCCTGGTTCCTTATGTGTTCAGCTCCGAAGGGGAAGGAGAGGGGAGGGGGCTGGGGGGGAGGGAGGTGTATCCTCTCCAGCTGCTTGTAAAGGCCTCTCTCATGCAGCAGGGCCCCCGCCACGAGCACTCCTAAAGAGCCCCAATCAGCATTGCCAGGCACCTCAATCACTAGCGTCTTAAAGAGCAGAGATAGACCTGACCCATATCCAAGGTCAGACTGAGAGTATAGTGGCCATCAGTGCCAGCTTCCCAATGAGCCAATACCCCCCCCCCCCCCTCTCTCTCTCAGGTCCTCACCCTCCTCAACTCTCCCTGAACCTCCTCCCCTACTCACATCTGTCTCAACCTCAGCCATTTCCCTGTCTGGCCCCATGGCTGGATCCATATGTTGGAGGAATTAACTCTTATAGAGGTTGCCATTAACTGGTTTATGGACCTCTTTGTCTGGTGTCGTGTCCATGGCTTTTCATTAACATGGATCATTGTCTCACATTTTTCTCCCACCGCAAGCAGCCATTTTAGCTCACTTTCCCCGCTTGTGGTGGAATAGGAAGCTACAAAACCCTCCTCCTCCTCCTCCTCCTCCTCCTCCTCCTCCTCCTCCTCCTCCTGCTTGCACCTCACCCAACTGGTTATATTTATTTACTACTCTTCCTCCCACTAACACTAAAAACGAATACCCCTTTCCTCTGTCTGCACTCCTGCCCTTACCCACCGTACTCCATCCCTTCACTGCTGTTAAACACACTTCCTTTCTCTGTTTATGGCTGATTTAACATTCCAGACTTGTGTTTTGCCCATGTCTGTCGAATTAATCCTCACTGATTGATCAGCTGATTGACAGATTGGGATTGGGATGACGTGCATCGCGCGATGATGATGTCACACGCAGGAGATCCTGTTCAATGACTGTCCAACACTGTGTCAGCCTACCTACTGTCAGGCTATTTTAAGACTATGTCGGCATCAGCCACCTCTCCTTCTTCCAATCACTGTCTCTGTCCCTTTTCTCACCCTTTTCGCTGACAGTCTAGGGGAGCATAATACCCACATCATTACAGTATTTCCTTTATCACTGCTGACACAACCAAACAAGTGGCCACCATATTTTTTTTTTCTCACCTCCAGTTTGTTTGCTTCTAAAGGAAAAGGTGCAAGAGAAGGAAGCAGTGTTAGACGACTGTGCACAGTCCTGGTATTTCCATGGAGACCGTCGTGCAAGGACAAAACCGTTGCTTACACGAACAGTTCTCTACCTGTGATTTGGAAAATTGAGAGGGAATGAGGAAGAAACCACTGCATCGTGTGACAGGAAAACACAAAGAATGGCTGCGAGTGGAGCAAGAGAGGGAGAGCAGCCGGTCGCTATAGAGACGATGAGTCAGGCAACATCACCTCATTAGGAATGACCCACCACACACAAGCACAGTCATGTGACCGAGGCATTGCAGACACCGTATTCAGTAGCACAGGGAGATAGGGAGAAATGTGGGGGATTGACTGTACATGCAGAAGTCATTGCATTGTTAAAAGCCAAAGAACAGAGAGGTGAGTGAGTGAAGCAGGTGGTCATGAATATAAAACACGGCGGCTGGTTTCAGGACCATTATGGAGAGACAGCACCTCAGGGAGGCCCGATTCAGAGCAGGAGGGAGGAGGCAGGGAAATGTAGGGTGGTGGCAGGCTAGGCTAATGCTACAGCCGTGCAGGCTCGCTGTTACCCCACCACTCGAGCCTCAGTCAGCCAGTATAGGGTATGCCCCTCTGTCGTCTACTGTATCTGCAGCCTGTAGCCTCTGCAACCATGTCCCGACCAACTTTCCTGTCACTCAGTGTCAGCTTCACTCCAAGGCAGATAAGACTTTCCTTTCAATGGACGGTATCTCTTGCTGTTGCCAGCTTTTTGGTCTCAGTGAAGGGTATTCTCTGGGGTGAATGTTTGGGTTGATAAAGGTGCCGGTTTGACACCTGCCTCTTCCATTGTCTGGACAGTGTGTTCATGTGTGCATTGTCTGAGAGTTTGTGTGAGTCCTTAGGGTGTATGTCTGTGTGTATATGTCTGTGCACGGCTGTTTGTACTGTTTTGTGTTTTTACTCCCATGACTTGACCCCCTTGTAGTTTAAAAGGAAGCGGAAACACAATGGGAGCCCCTCCCTTCTCCTTCCTTATTTCTCTCTTCTTCTCTCTGTCACTATATGTCACTCCTCAGCAGATTAACTCACTCCTAATTCTCATTTCACAGGAAATAACCTATTTACTCTGTCTTACTCCGCTCCTCTCTCTCTCCTTGTTTGCACACACAGAACACGCTCACATCCTTCTTCACGCTTTCTTCTCTCTGTCTGCTTCTCTGTCTCTCTCCTCTGAACTGCACACATGCACGCCCACACTCACACACTCACAAACAAACACACACACACACACACACACTCCCATACACACACACACATACACGAAACACACACACACATACGCATACACGAAACACACACACAGAGCATACCATCAGGAGACTCACTGCACACTCATGCGCACACACTAACCCTTAAAGCCCATTAGCTGTCCAGCATGGATGTGGGGTACCATGCCATGCTCCATTCTGCCCCCTGCTGCCTGCATGCTGCACCTGCCAGTAACAGGTGTGGGATTCAATTAAAGCAGCATGCTCTCAGCAGTCAGTCCTGTGAGCAGGCCATGACTGTGGACTGGGCAAAGCCTTGAGCCAGCAGAGCCCTCAGATCCCTGTAGCTAAGAACCAAACCAAAAAACACAAACACCATGAGGACACCACTTTAGAAACAGCTGCCAACCATTGGCAGGGGGTGTTTAGATCATCAAAGTCGTACATTAACCATCACCATGATGCTGTCACATCAAACATGAAAACACTGCGGATCGTAGAAGACAACCAAAATGAAAAGTCTAAATTTAGCCTAAAGCTGTCAGCGCTCACTTTTAATTGCATTACCAGTCGATCACAAATTGCTGCCAGACACTTATGGGAGATATTTACTGTCATTTTCAGGAAAGTTCTGGCGCTTTCATCATTTTATACTGCTGCCTCATATTGACAAGTAACAGCTGACCTGTGCCTGGGAAAGGGATTATGGAGATAAATAGCCAATTATTACAGCAGTATTTCTCTGTATGTGTGGTAGTAATTGGCATGCCAGAGTATGATAGCTACAGCCTGGGTTTTAATCCCTGATAAGGTAAGTTTCATTAGCCATCTGGCTAGTTTGTAGGGTAAAGAAGTGACTGCGCTGCCTAGTGACTTCACTGGGATGATCATGACTACAAGATTTCCATCCGCACCCAAATAGGAATTAATCTATTAATCTAACAATCTCACATAATCCCAGATGGCTCTTACTCCAGCTAACCTGCTCTTGCCAGACTAGGATAATGCCTAATCTCAAGAAATACGCCTAATGCTTAATGCCTAATGCCTAATACCTCATTCATACTGTGGTCATAATAGCCTCTTGTACTACAGACTCTACTGCTAGGGTTTGGCTGCTCTGGCTTCCCGCTGCTACAATCACCCTTCATAGTCAGAAGGAAAGAGAGGGAGGCAGAGCGAAGGAGAGGCAGAGAGAGCTGGTAAACAGGAAGGCAGGCTGGGGAGCGCAGGTCAGAGTTAATGAAGCCCCCTAGGCAGGGTTTGCAGGGTGTGAAGCGTGGCCACTGTTTCTGTTTGGCTTTTGAGCGTGTGAGTGCGTGCGAGTGAGTGTGAGTGTGAGTGTGAGTGTGAGTGTGAGTGTGTGTGTGTGTGTGTGTGTGTGTGTGTGTGTGTGTGTGTGTGTGTGTGTGTGTGTGTGTGTGTGTGTGTTTGTGTGTGTGTGTGTGTGTGTGTGTGTGTGTGTGTGTGTGTGTGTGTGTGTGTCCTTGTGGCCTGTGTGTACAGCCTGGAGGCCGTTGATGAGCCCCTTTGACACCGGGCCCACCCAACGACCATTTCATTAGAATAAACCGAGGCTCGCTGAAAGGCAGCCAGCAGGGTTCATATGGGAAAGGAGGGAACAGAGAAACATGGAGGAGGAAGGCAGAGGATGACAGACTGTTAGTCTATGCTGCGCTGCAGTGTTGTTGTGATGATGAGGCCAATAGAGTACAGACTGCAACCAATTTAGGCCAGGGCTGCAAGGTTAGGCGCAATAATGAATAGAATCAATGTTTTGGGGGCTACACTGTGGCGGGCACAATGTGTTGAGAGTAAATTGTATTGCAGACAGCAACAACTATTTTGGAGCTGTGATAGATTGTAGTGCATTCTCTGTCTCTTACCTTTATATTATGGCTGGTCATGATTTAAGTACATCAGCCTCCAAAGCTCTGAATCCAATCCTAAACTTTTATTATCTTATCAAGAGCTTTAATCTGGACATGATCATTGTGGATGTCATGAAACTCCAAATAGTGAAGCACAGTTATATCCCGAAATTCTGCTAATATAATATTTATATATACAGTATTGTATCATAAAACACAAAAACTTTTACATTTACAACGGTTAGGTTATGCTCTCCTCTATTGTACAATGTTAATTAGCTTGATGGGTCACACCAGTACAAGCTGATAACAACAACACCAGCCAAGGTGAATGAATCGTAGCATAATGCTGTGAATTAAGCAGCATAGATCCTGTAGTATAATACTTCAGTGGCATGTCTTTTAGGTTTCCTTTCTTTGACTTTATTCTTTATGAGAAATTTCACCCAGTCTCATCAGCGAGACCTCCAACACACTTGAAAGCTTTTGTGTCACGCTGTCTATACAGCTGCTGTATTATATGTCATCCAGTGGCATCAGAGCTAGGTCAGATTTACCATTGCTTTATGATTTTGTTAATATTTGAATGTAAGATTGATGTTTGTTGTTGGATAAATGATCAAGAGGCAGGCTGTTCCATAGAGGTATTACATATTTATTTGCCTTCTATTTTACTGTAATACTGTAATCAGTTTCACTGTATCGTGGCAACAGATGAGTTGGATGTTAGCGTGCATATTAATACTTTTCCAGTAGGTCATCCTGCTGTAGAGAACAGGCTTGTCCTTTATTCTACCTTGAGGCAGAGTGTTCCTGGCTTTGTTTATGGGTCACCTACATGCAAAGCCACTGCTTTGCTTTCTGCATGCTGTTTATTTCTCTATTTACAGTAGCATTGTACTTTTGAGGCAGTGTCCTACTTCTATTGGTCGTCTTTTTCCCGCTCCAAAGCTTTCTGTTCCCGATAATACCTCACCCTTTATGGCCTTTATTTGAAATATTTCGGAGCACAGCTTCCGCTTATTAGCAATGCGCTCGTGCAGCGTCTGGACTGATAAAGATGTCATTTGATTGTGTTGTGACGGAGGGCTGACAAGATGTTAGTCAAGGATTTCATTGTTCGGCTGTCTGAAAGTGCCAGATTTAACCATTCCTCTGAACATTATTTTGCATATTTCAGTCACCCACGTTCATATTTGCAAAGCAAACACCTCAGGCGTCCCTGCTTTCGAGTGAGCAGTTTGGTTCGACAATGGAGCATGACAAGCCTCCTCCCCGTGAAGAGTCCGTATTCAGAGTGTTTGTTTATGCCTGAGCTTGATTAGATTCCTGTTTGGTTGCCAGTCTCAATCCCTGTTGGACCCCCTCAGAAAGAACAGGCTAATTCCTAAGTGGCCTGGCGCTACAGATCACCAACCACTATCAACAACAGTATGACAGAAGGCTATACGAGAAAGCTGGATTTCCAAAAGCCTGAGGTAACTCCCCGATCGCTCTATTATGATTCTCCTCCTGCAGCAGACTCCATGAAATATTCAAGACAGTTTGAGCCTAGACTGATCCGTCACTCTAACAGTCACAGAGTGACAGTGTATGTGTGTATGTATGCATGTTGGTGTGTGCATGCATGTCGTGCACTGCCTGCGTGTTTATTGGGATGGTATGCGTGTGTCTTGTCCGTCTGTGCATCCATGTGTGCTGCATGTCATCTGCGTCCAAATGCCCCAGCAGCGTCCAATTAGTTCAGAGATGCGTTCAATCATGAGGTGACCAGCAGGTGTCTGGTTCTGTCGCAACCCCGAGCCAGAGAGCCACATAAATAAGCTGGCAGAGGAGACATGGGGACTCCTCAGCTGTTTTTTTTTTTTTTTCTTTTCTGTAGTGCCTCCAACTCCCTCTCCCTCTCTCTCTCTCTTGCTCTCTGTCGCTGGTACCGCTGTGATGTCAGAGTAGCGAGGATGCCAACAGCTTTTCTCATAGATCACCTGGCACGCCCAGTGGTCCCAGGGCACTCTCTCTGTCAGGCAGGGACACGCTGCGTCAACCAGCCAATTTACACTAGTCCCAAGCGGATGACCTCCACCTGCCTAAAGTAGACATCCTGTGTGTGTGTGTGTGTGTGTGTGTGTGTGTGGGTGTGTGTGTGTGTGTGGGTGTGTGTGTGTGTGTGTGTGTGTGTGTGTGCTAGGTTAGTTTATGGATTGTGTGTGAGAGTTCCCATGTATTTTTGTGTGTGCATCTATGTCTGTTTGGAATAGGGACTGTTGTTTGTGTCTGTTTCTGTGCCTGTGGGTGTATGAAGCTGAGTTGCAGTTGCGGCGGACGGGGAGGCCTGGCCAACCTCACATCATTACCCCAGGATGCTTTTTTTTCTTTGAGGCATTACTCTTGACTGAGAGCCAAATTTGAGTCCTAATAGAACAAGCTCCACAATTACTGTTTTACCACCCAGTCGCAGAGCAGGGAAGCAGAGGCCTTTGAAATAAAAAAATGTACAATCAAATAAAAAATAGGCCAAGATAAATTAGATTAGAGACTACATCTAAGCCGCGGCAGCAGCCAGAAATCTCCCATTTATCATATCCAGACGCTTTCCAACCACAATGCTGATGTTCTACAAATGAGCTTTTATATGTTCCTTCATTTTAAATCTGATAATGTACCTCACCTCACTCCCCCCCTCCCCCTCTGTCCCATTCTCCTCCTTCTCTTTGTTTCCTTTTCAATTCTTAACTTACTTTTATCTACTCACATCTTCCTTCTGTCCCCTCCATGTCTCTCTCCTGTTCTGTATTCCATGGTCTTTGGCCTTTTCCCATTTCCTCTCTCCCTCCCCTGCCATCTCCATGATATCTTTCATTTTTACAATGCTTTGTTGTCATTTTCTGTGTCTTCCTTTTTTCTCCCACCTCTTCTCCTCCTCTCTGCTCCAACACCCCTCTTCTGCTCCAGTCTTTGTGTGTCCAGGAACGCTGTTGCGGGTGCAGGCGGCCAGTTCTCTGCAGGAGGCGGAGCACCAGGCGGGAGCGTGGTGTAAGGACCCGCTGCAGTCTGGGGACCGTCTGTACGTCATGCCCTGGACCCCCTATCGCACGGACATGCTGTATGAATATGCCTCCTGGGAAGACTTCAAACAGAACCGACCCACCACCACCTACAAGTGAGGGCGCCTCCCACTGTCCTGGATGATCAAATAGCATCTGCTGCTGTATTGATTTATTGGCTTTTGATGTGGATATGGATGGTGATAGCAGGACGGTTCCACTGTGGTGTCAGCTTGCTTGCCGTGAAGCCGTCTTGAAGGATTGTGTCGTGCAGGGTAGATAAATTGACTTGTTCTCTTGCATCCCTGCACCACTCATGTGATTCTCTGTCAACAGGTTGCCAAACAGAGTCGACGGCACTGGGTTCGTGGTGTACGACGGTGCAGTATTTTACAACAAAGAGCGCACGCGAAACATAGTCAAGTACGACCTACGGACGCGCATCAAGAGCGGCGAGGCCATTATCACAAATGCCAACTACCACGACACCTCGCCCTACCGCTGGGGAGGGAAGTCGGACATCGACCTGGCTGTGGACGAGAACGGCCTCTGGGTGATCTACGCCACCGAGGCCAACAACGGACGACTGGTGGTCAGCCAGGTGGGACAGCAGCGCGGCACAGAAGGGGATGAGATGTGGATTATAAATGCAGGAGTGGATTATGTCAAAATCTCATTTTGCTAGTCCGGCAAAAGGTCATATGTCACACATGAATGACTTACCGTTCAGGTTACACAAGTGCACTGACAAATGAGATGCAGAGATATTGTTGACCGCTTTGTTGTTGTCGTGTCAACATCATCTGCAAAAAGGTCAGGCCTAATTTCAAATCCTGTAATATTCAAAAACTAATCTTCACTGGTTTGGTAAATATTTGATTGGTTTTTGTGGATGTGGTGGAGGACGAGGAACCACAACCAGGTTCTTTCTGGCTTCAAACGTTAGGTTGTCTACTCGTTTGTATATCAACAGTTTAGAAGCATGTGCTCTACACATTATTGTAAATATATCAATCCAAAGTCACATTACTTTGCTTTGCTCACTTGGAAAAACTCAAAACATTTGAGTTTTTTTTTCTTTCATACTTTCATACAAGGTGGTTATTTGTTTCGTAACAAACGAAACTGCAATCAGGCAGCCTGTTCCCACATAATCAGAGTTTCAATTAATGTGTTGTTCCAAGAGACGGGACCCATTTATTATCACCATCTTTGACCTTACCAGGAAATTGTTTTTCAAACTGCATAAGTTAAACTATCCATCTAAAATATCAAACCCTGCATGAGCTATGAGAGTGTAGAATAATGGAGCAACAAAGTAATAAACAAGAAAGTGATCACTTTCATCATTAAGGAATTGTTTGGTTTCTGGGGAGATTTATTATTTTTCCTGCTTACCCAGAGAGCAACATGTAGCGGTCTCTGTTATGTCTCGACATACAGTTTGAAAGTATTTTGAACAGAAGCAGCTTTATGCAAAGGCAGAAATATATATGTATATTTCTCCTCCGAAGCTCACGCATTAATTACTTTTTCAATATTTTGACTAGTGCTTGTAAATCTTAATATTATTGTATTAGAAGTACAATTTGTGCTGCCGTAGGGTCCTGTAAACACGAGGACGACGGAAAATGTCATTTATATTTTGATAATAAAATTAGAGACTTGATAGATGCTCAATTTTGACACTGTATAGTTTTTTAACTATACACTGTTTTGTTTTTTTTTGTTCTTTTTTTAAAATCTTTTTTTGTCTCCTTTAAAAGTCCAGTGTTCTAATTTCCATTGAGCTGCTACTTTACCGTAGACTCCAACTAATGGAGCTTCTGTAAGGAAGCTTAAGCTCACCATTCAAAAAACTGCACATAGAGAGATAAAAAAGGATATCAAGAAACCAAACGCTAATAGTCTTGCTCTTTTATTCTTGAAGAGTGTGTAACTTTTTTATGACCTCTATAACAAAAATTCCCCCAAAACCAAAACCTCTCTTCAAGCTTCCCAGTATGATCATTTATACATTAAGCCTTGGCTGAGTGGCTGAGTTCAGCATCTCTTCCTTGCCTGTAGGTAAACCCTTACACCCTGCGCTTTGAAGGCACCTGGGAGACCAGCTTCGACAAGAGGATGGCGTCCAACGCCTTCATGGCTTGTGGCGTGCTATACGCGGTGCGGTCGGTCTACCAGGACGATGACAGCGAAGCAGGCGGTGACCTGGTGATGTACGCCTACAACACTAACCGTGCCCGCGAGGAGCCTGTCAACATCCCTTTCCCCAACCCTTATCAGTATATTTCCTCTGTGGACTACAACCCTCGAGACAACCAGCTTTATGTCTGGAACAACTATAACGTGCTGCGCTACCCGCTGGAGTTTGGACCACCAGACCCCACCACAGGTGAGGAGTGATCCCGCAGAAAGCACAAAAAAACACAGTAACTTTAGTTTTTTAATCTACAATTGTGAGATATTTTGCATCTGTAAATTGGTGCAGATGTATGAGGCTGTCACAAAAAGTATGTATAATTTACCCCCTAATTCCTTTCTAGATGACGACTCAAGTGTTAGCTGAGCTTTAGCTGGGCTGACCCAAGCTGGTAGTGCGGTCTTATTGAAACATTGATTTATTCCTAAATCTGACATTACAGTTGACCTCAAGTTTAGAATTACTGTTGGACGTGATGCTTAATATTTGTAGACCCAGTTGAGAGCTGATAGAATGGTAAATTGAGTATCAAGACATCTGCTGTTGACTCAGACACCACGGCAAATATTTTGAACAGAAATATTAGGCGTGCTGTAGAGAGTGGTCTACAGATACAAATATTAAGGATTTACATATAGAAAACCATTGTGTTTCTTTATCTTTATGTCATATTCATAAAATGTGAAATTATGAAGGAGAATCTGGAATTTGTTTTTCTGTCATTTCCATCATGTACAGTACATACACATACAAAAATTATGCTTCTTGCTTAACCAGGGAACACACTCAAACAGCCCATGCAGAATGTGTTTGTGACTGTTTCTTATCTGACATTTGGATGCCTCAGATAGCAAATCATTGTATTTCCATCCACAGCCATAGTTACAGTAAGGCGCAGCTTCTCAGGTATGACTGCTGTAGCACTTCATATCAACTTTTCTGTGTCATGGATAATGAAAAAGTCATTCTGAAATGATAAGAGGGAGGATAAAACGAGAACACCACACTGCATTTTGGCAGTCCATCAATATGAGAGGGAGGTTTGGATGTACTGTATATCTGAGCCGCATAAAGGCCTGTATAAAGCTCGGATTATGCCCAGAGAGAGACGAGGCAGAGACAGACGGGCGGGAGCACTCGCGGAGTTGTGCGCTGACTCCGCGTTTGATCAGTTAGGATTTTGTAGTTGTGATGTGTTGCTTTTATCTTCGCATTAGGTTTGGTTGTTAGTGATGGTGACTTCTCTGATACATTTGATCAATTATTTACTTCCCACTGACTTGTGATGATGCTTTCTCTCTATCTCCTCCCCTGCTTCTCCTCCCCTCTCTGGAGAGCAGGCTTTGAGAGGCTCAAAAAAGTATTTGTCACCCCAATTATTGTGGGGCTAACTTTTGAACTCAACTTGTGAGAGACAACGTACATTCATATGCATGTGTCCTTCACTCTCTTGATCCCTTTTATTTTTTATTTTTTTATTTTGGCTGTTGCTGTTGGGTGTTGCTGCTCTCTAACAAATCCCTTACATCCTCTTATAACTCTCTAAATGTCTCTCACTCATTCTGTGCCTCTAACTCTGACTTCTCATCTCTTCTCTCTGTATTATTATGGGGTTACCTCAGGCCCTTTGACCACCACCCAAGTGACCACCACTCTTCCAGCCAGGCCGTTCACCTCCAGTGCCAGCCCCTCCACTGCCCGCCCCCTGGCCCCGACCTCGCGCCCAATCGGCTCCATCAACAAGCACCCCGATCTTCGACCAATCACAGCCACTGTGCCAGTCACCCGCCGGCCACCTCGCCCTCCTCAAGGCCCAGAGCCCCACGTCTGCGAGGCGAAGCTGGAGCGCGGTGTCCAGTGGCCCACCACGCAGAGAGGAGAAACGGTAGACCGACCGTGTCCCAAAGGATCTCTAGGTGAGGACAGCTGCTTGTGTGTATTTTTAAATGTGTGTGCATTTTTTCCACTCCGTGAAACAAACAAGTACGCACAGTATATCTCTTCTGTGCATGTGCCCAAGTGATCAGCATGTTTGTACTCTCACACTTGTTTTTTTCCGCTGTTGTCTTCTCCTGTCCCTGTGTTGGTCCCACCAGCAGGCACAGTCCCCGTGGACTGGCAGATGAAAGCCTGTCCTCCGCAAATGAAAGGCTCATCTCCCACAGAAACGGAGCTGATTGAAAGTGGCGAATAATGCAGTGAAGGCTAGACAACACAAGTTTCACTTCCCTTCATGCTAGCTTCTATACCTCTATACATGCAGCCATCAAAAAGCCCTCTTTAGTCACAGGAAGAAAAAAAAAAAGGCATCTCCCTCCATCCTCCTCTCCAATGCCTTTCAATGTTTCTGTATGTTCTCTCTGCGAGAACGGCAGTAACATTAAATTAGCAGCTGGCTTAATTGCCACATCTTGGCAGAGCTCTCAAACCCAATCTGTGGTCGATGGAGGAGGGAATAGAGAAAAAATGGGAGAGAGGGGGAAAAAAAAAATCAGAGAGAGAGAAAAAAAAAAGTGGGTATGAAATGCAACGCCACATCTGCTCTGATCCGTCTACAACTGTGAAGTGTTGAAGCATTGTTTTTGTCGTCTCCGCTCTTCCGTTCTGCTTCTATCGCTCTCTTTCTTCCTCTCTCTCTCTCTCTCTCTGGTCCCACTTCTCGACTTTTCTCTTCCTTGTCTTTGTGACTTGACGTTGGTTATTTGTGTTAGCAAGAGCGGATAGACCCCCTCTCTGGTTTTATCCCGGCGTGGTGTCCTTTCTCTGAACCTAGCTGGAAATGAGGGTTGGTGGAAGATGCTTCCCTTCAGGTGTTTTTTACTTGACAGTGAGGGATCGGGCCTGATGTCTCTGGTGTGTGCCTGTGTGTGCTGAGTAAATGTTACGTGTGCATATGGTCCTTTTAAATTGTTTCCTTTTGCAGCATGAAAGCCTCTTCTGCCCCCTGCCATCTTCCTCCTCCATTTCTCTTCCCTCACTTTCTCACTGCCCTACACTCCATTATTTAACCTTTTCCACTTCTGACCCATTTCCTCTCAGACTTTTTTCTCAACCTCCTCCCTCTTTCTTCCCTCTCATCTTCAAACACTTTTGAGTATTGCATTTTTAAAATTCATTTCATTCCATTTTTCTTGGGTAAAAAAAAAAAAAAAATTGTGCTCATCCCTCTCCTCCACACTTTCCCCTTTAATTGCAGACACCTAATGCTTATTATCTCTCCATTACTCCCCCCCTCCCTCCTCTGTTTCTTCTCCCTGTGCTCGTCTCCAGGCATTGCTTCGTTCCAGTGCTTGGCGGAACAGGTCATGTGGAACCCGCGGGGTCCTGACCTGAGTAACTGCACCTCCCCGTGGGTCAACCAGGTGGCCCAGAAGGTGAGACCTGGAGCTCTACCCCCTGGCCATGGGTCTGTCCCCTTCCTCTGCCCCACTGCCCCGGCCATCCTCCCTGTCCACATCCACACACACATTAACATATCTCCAAGGCTGGCCTGATTAAAATACAGACTCATTTCAAGTGGCCCTTCATTACAAGGCATCTGCTCTTAATACTTAATTAACTCTCTTTTTTTCACTAATATACTTTAATTACAGCTAGTTTAAATTATTTTTAAGAATCAGGCTTCACAGCTTGCAAAGACTGCCACTGTTATTCTGCCACTTCACTCTCTCCATCATAGTCTCATGATGCATTATACCTGTGCAGCTGCTTAACATCATGGTCTGTAGATGCGCAGTGATTTTAATTTTAGCTGACATTTAAAGTACTAAATTGTTTTACAATATTCACAATAATAATTTACATTTTTTGCAAAGTCTATGTAATAGTGAAATAAGAGTAAACTGGTTAATGGTGGCTACATTTCTGCAGGAGAAACCTCTGATTATTCAACCTTGCAGACCCTTGACCGGCTTTCTAAAATGTTTTTTAAGTGTGTGTGCATGTGCCTGGAAGGGTAAGTAGCATCATGTTGAAAAGTAACATCATTGGAAGAATCCATTTTACCTTCTCCTTTTGGCAAAAATCAATTGCAATTGCAAAGTGGTTGCTAAGGGTATGATTTTCAAGTGAAACAGCGCAAGGGAGAATAAAAAACTTGACAATTTGTTCTACAAGGTCCATCGTTGTTAACATGATACAAGAGGGGCAGATAAAACAGATCCTTTTTTTTTGGAGAGAGGTCTGGGGAAAATCTGACTATTGAACAAACATTATGCAGGTTTTTTTAGTGTTGAAATTAACACAAAACCTTTGTGTATTCTTAGTGTGCATGTGAACATTTAACAGTGTGAGATTTCCAGCAGCTGTGCATGAGCCCATCAAAGCACATCTGTTTTATCATCCTTACGGTATCACTGTATGTAAACACACGCATGTGCGTGTGTTTTCATGTGCAGATAAAGAGTGGTGAGAATGCTGCCAACATCGCTGGAGAGCTGGTGAACCACACGCGGGGTCGGATCCAGGCGGGAGATGTCAGCTCGTCCGTGCGACTGATCGAGCAACTGCTGGACATACTGGATGCCCAGCTTCAGGCCCTGAGGCCTGGAAACAAGGAGTCAGCTGCACGAAACTACAACAAGGTAGAAGAAAGTATAAACACACGCATAAGTATACACACACACACACACACACACACACACACACACACACACACACACACACACACACACACACACGCCCCTGCTATATTTAATTCAAGCATTAGAAAAGAACGCTGAGGTTAATGCGAATTTACCCCCCTAGTGCACATGCAAGGACCGGTGAGTTTTTAATTTAGAGTTTTCTAGTTTAGCTGTTTAATTCCAGCCTTTGTTTTCTCCCTTCCAGCTCCAGAAGCGAGAGCGGACCTGTCGGGCCTACATCCAGGTAGCTTTTCTCTTTTATCTGCCTCCTTTACATGCCCGTGGAGTAGGACTGCTGTGTGACTTAAAATAACTGAAGGAAGATAAATCCTTGAGTAGACTCGGCTTGTACATGAGATTCCTTTGGCTCAGTGCTCTGTATTATGATTTATATTGCCTTTGGAGTCATCACTTATGGAATTTCTCGTTTGTGTGGAAGAGCAGTGTGAGTAAGCTTTGGTATAACTCCTGGCAGACAACATGTACAGTATTTAAATGCTGGTGTAGTATTTCCCTTAGCAGTGAAAGCTGATTTGTAGTTTTTCTATTGCTGGTGGTGTACACTGTCTTTGAAATGTGTGTTCCTTTAACGTGGAAGTCATCTCTCTGTGACATAATCTTTGCTTTGTTGCGCTGCGATAGAGCCTAATTGTACAATATTGGCACTGGCCTCGTTGTGTTGCACAATAAGGTACAATATCTGCGGCTCTGAGAAAATGTAATTTGATGATAGCATGAAAGGCAACAGTTTGTGTTACTACACCCTTCTGTGCTTTTTCAATATTTGTGCAATATCTGTGGTTCTGAGAAAGCTGTAATCTAATATGATGAAAAGGCCTTGTGTATGCTTCTTTGTAATGATGAAATGCGGCACTCTGCAGCACACGCTCTTTTGTGTGTCTTGACCTGTCTGCAGCATACTGTAATATGACACCGCATCTTCTGATCTCTGCTGGATGAAGTAAAGGCTGCTGTGTCGTATGTAACTGGACCATTATTTTTTGTCACTCATTGCAAACCAGCTCAGTGTAACCCCACTGATCAGAGGATAAACCCAAAAAAACACTCTCTGCTGTGGCGGCGGGGCTCTGATGCTAAATTCATTTTGTTAACAGCAACGCTCTTTATTCCATACGGCAGTCAATCCTTCATTTTGAGAGGCCTGAGCAAGAGAATTACATGATTCATCAAGCAGGCTACTCCAATAAATTGGATAGCTGATACAACCATCAAAATTGCCATTAAATGAATTGTAAGTGTGAAATAGAATGGTAATATGTCTGACATAGCACAGTAATAAATGTAGTGCAGGGGAGTGGTGAGTTTCTAGGAAATTATAGCGAAATAGCGGCGACTTTGTACTTTGAAGTGCGCAACTAATACGGTTACACTTTACAACTCGATACATTAAACGAATAATTATCAAGGACCAAGTAATAAACAAATCAGGAACTAACTGATAATTACAGACTAGCTAATTAATAGTTAATGGCACTTCTTGAGAACAGAGGGCAGACTGCTAGAAACTGTGTTAATGAACCATTGTCTAATGATAAGTTATCTGGATATCTGTGAATCTGCATACTAATCACTTTCTTATGGAATTGTTCTGTGCCATTTAGTGCACTCAGAATTGTGTACTAAATGGCACAAAACCAATAACGTATCATTACTGCTTTATTTGTGTCCCACATGTGCAATTGTGTGCCGTACTAAATGGCTGCTAGGAATGGGTCTTTATTTCATGAGTACTTTGCAGTGTTGTGTCTACTCAAGTGACAAAAGGCGACTGAATTTGAACTCATCTAAAAAGATGAAAAAATGTTATTAATCATCAGTTATTTCCTGGTTTCTTTTAGTACTTGTTCCTTTCTAATGACTGTTTTCAGTGACAGCCACTAATGGTACACCTCCTGACTGTGACAGGCGGTGGTGCAGACAGTGGACAACCTGCTGCGTCCCGAGGCTCTGGGGTCGTGGCAGGACATGAACAGCACAGAACAGGCCCACACTGCCACCATGCTACTGGACGTCCTGGAGAAGGGCGCTTTCCTGCTGGCCAACAACATGTATGGGAATCGCTTCTCTGACCGAGCGCCCAGCATCGGTAAGAAAACAGTATGAATGGTGGTAGTTATGGTGGGCGTATGGATGAACCACAGTGTGGACCGCTGTTTGCTACATCTCTCCAGGGTCTGTTTTTGAGTCTAGGAGGGCGCTGAGGTAACCTTTTTTTGCATGCTGTGTTTCCACCATCAGATCTGGAGGTGCATGTTCTAAACACAGAGATGGACCTGCAGGACCTGTCCTTTCCACAGAACTACGCCAGTGACAGCACCATCCAGCTTTCAGCCTCCACGATCAAACAGTACAGCCGCAACGGTCAGCAACCCTCACCCCTCCCCATCCTCGCCCCGAAGACTGAAAAATTGCACTGTCCTGTGCAGCCCGCTCCCTTATGTTTCCATTTGCATTTTCATGCGAGCTTAAAACAATCTGCATGCAGTTGACTAAGTTATTGGTTCATAATAATAGGCTAATCAGATTAACAAAAGCGCTGAGACAATTTCTTTTCCTGATGGTTTCTTAACAGCAGTCTTAATAGAATAGCTGGGGAGGCGTGTAGATTACAATCGGCCCCAGTCTGACAGAGCAATCTCAGCACTCCCTCTCTTCCCCATTCCATTCCCTCGCTCCGTCTCTCCGCCATCTTATCCCCCTCTCTCATCTCTCTTGTTTCTAACCCCCCCACCCCCACCCACCCCCATCATCCTCCACTCCACCGCTCCCCTCCTTCCTCCATTGGCCCCTCATCCCCTACCCTTTTCTGTTTTCTGTCTCCGCTCGGCTCTGCAGTGGGAACGAGATTAGAATGATTGAAACAAACGCACATGAAATATTCATATGGAATAATAAGAGATCTGTGAATGCTTGAGGGATGAATGTTCCATTGCCCTCCACATTAAATCTCGCTCTCTTCCACCAGTCAAAATGAAACGGTCCTTACCATCATTCTAACCTTCACTAACTCTCTCTCTCTGTCTCCCTCTCGCTCGCCCTGTCACTCCCCGCTTTCTATCTCTGTCACTCTCGCTGCCATTACCATATTATGCCCCCATTTCTGTATTTGGTCTTTTTCCCCCCTTCACTTCCCTCCCCCACTGCTCTCTTTCATCGTTCTGTCTGTATCTTCCTTTTCATAAAAAAATCTGCCTTTTTTTTTTTTCCTTTTCTTCCTTTTCTTTTATACTCCTGTTCTCACGTTCTCTTTCTTTCATTCACTTTCTCTTCATCTTTCCGCTTGTCTCTCCCTCCGCGCGCAGGACAAGTCAAGGTGGTGTTCATTCTCTATAAGAACCTGGGATCCTTTCTGTCCACTGAGAACGCCACAGTGAAGATGGAAGTGGACGGGCCGAGCCATGAAAAGAAGCGCCTGGCGGTCAATTCCCATGTAATCGCCGCGTCTATCAACAAAGAGTCCAGCAGAGTGTTTCTCACTGAGCCGGTGGTCTTCACACTCAAACACCTGGAGGTGACCTAATTCAGTCCTCATCATGCTTCATTTGCATTCTCACACATGAACTCTTCTCATCTTCCCTCTTGTTGTTTTCCTTCTTCCGCAGCTGGACAATTATTACACTCCAAACTGCTCCTTCTGGAACTACTCGGAGCGCTCCATGATGGGGCAGTGGTCGTCGCAGGGCTGCAGGCTGCTGGACACCAACAACACGCACACCACCTGCTCCTGCAGCCACCTCACCAACTTCGCCGTGCTCATGGCTCACCACGAGCCCGATGTAAGTAAACAAGGGCGTGGCAGACGCACGGTTTAAAATGGAAGCCCGGGTAATTTATGCAGATGTTCATTCGTGCGAGTATTAGCGTTCGCTCACTCTCAGTCACACACCCGCACACACATGCACATTAATGTACCCTCTCAAGGCTGACAAGCTCTTTGTTTTGAATTTTCTCTTCTCCTTCTTTCACTCCGACATTCAGGGAGGCACACGCTTACAAATTCATGTCCTGCTACTTCTCGCTGACATTCACATGAATTTGAATGTCATGTATTTTTTTCAGGCCGCCTTGTCTCTTGTCTCTACAGTTTAGCTCCTTGCATATATTTACAAATATTAAATAAAGCAATTTTGCGTTTTCTCTCCCCTCCCCCTCTTCTGTCTATCCATCCCCTATTGTCTCTATTCACTATTATCCCATCTATCTCTGTACTCCTCATCTCCCGTCCCATCCTTCCAATACTTTGTCCTCTCTCTATTTGCCCGATTCTGCTGTGTACCCCCGCATATTCCCTGTCCACACTCTCAAACCCCACCGCTTTTGTTTACCCGACTCTATCCGGACCTCAGTACCAGGGCCGGATGCATGAACTGATCCTGTTTGTGATCACCTGGGTGGGGATTGTCATCTCCTTGGTGTGTCTAGCCATCTGCATCTCCACTTTTTGCTTCCTGCGGGGCCTGCAGACCGACCGCAACACCATCCACAAGAACCTCTGCATCAACCTCTTCATCGCTGAGCTGCTCTTCCTCATCGGCATCGACAAGACAGAGTACCACGTGAGTTTGTAGCAACATGTTCGTCTGTTCCCTGCTCGGGATGTTAGGTTCTCGCTCATGAATAGGGTCTGGTTAGTTTTTTTTTTTTTTATATTCCAACTTGAAAATAACATAGAGAGTTACAGTATAGCACAAGTGACAACTTGAAAAGAGACTGTGGAGAGGTGGTGTGTTACTACATTACTCTATAAAACATTTACTGCACTGAGTAATGAATTACCACTCAATAATATGCACAGAGCCAGTCACCCAGGGGGCAGCTTTTCTTTTTTCCCTCTGTGAATGTCCAGAACTACTACTGTATTCTGAGCTTCTGACTCTGCTCTGGTTTCTTCTGTTTTTCACTCAGTTATATGCCTTGATCTTAACTGTTTCTCCTTCTTCATCTTATTATTTCCATTCCTCATCTTCTTCTCGTCCCTTTACTCTCTCCCTGCCTCAGATTGCCTGTCCCATCTTTGCTGGCCTTCTGCATTTCTTCTTCTTGGCTGCCTTCTCCTGGATGTGTCTGGAGGGTGTGCAACTCTATCTCATGCTGGTGGAGGTCTTTGAGAGCGAGTACTCCCGCAAAAAGTACTACTATCTGTGCGGCTACTGCTTCCCTGCACTGGTGGTTGGCATCTCCGCGGCCATAGACTACAGGAGCTATGGGACCAAGAAAGCGTACGTGTGAAGACAGGCCTTTTGCACCTGCAGATTGAGAAGTAGGATTATGCTATTCCCCCAGCTGGAAATGTAATATGCAGTGCTGTGTGAACGGCTCTTGCACCTCCCCGTGGACTGGCTTTTCTGAGCACACTTAGCCAAAGCCTGATGATTAGCCTTCATAAGATAATCCGCTGAGACAGGGAAATAGTGTGTGTGCATGCCTGCCCGTGTGTGCGCACGCGCGTGTCTGAGTGTGTGCGTGTTTGTTCGTGAGCTTAGCTGCATGTAAAACTCTCTCTTCTCCTCTGTGTCACTCCAGATGCTGGCTGCGAGTGGATAACTACTTCATCTGGAGCTTCATTGGACCCGTTTCATTTGTTATTATGGTATTAGCTTTACTGTCAGACAGTATTATTCCCCTCTCCATTTTTGATATGACACAGTAAAACCAAAAGTATTTCCCCATGTTTGCTTTGTGAGGTTTTTGAAGCACACTGTAAAGTTCACTGCACATTTACTTGACTCTTCTTATCTTCTGTCCTCAGCTCAACCTCATTTTCCTCATGATCACGTTACACAAGATGATTCGCAACTCTTCAGCACTCAAACCTGACTCCAGCCGCCTGGATAATATAAAGTGAGTTCAAATTATTCAATGAGAGTCATACTCCCTGAAACTACTGTTGTTGTTGGTGTTTTTTTTTTGTTTGCTTTTTTTCAAGGAAACAAATGTATGATAAATAAACCACACTGTCAGCTGGATGAGTCAGTTTCCCTGTGTGTCACTGTTTAACATTTCTTTGTCCACTTCCATCAGGTCGTGGGCTCTGGGGGCCATTGCTCTGCTGTTCCTGTTGGGGCTGACATGGGCGTTCGGCCTCCTCTTTATCAACGAGAACACAGTGATCATGGCCTATCTCTTCACCACCTTCAACGCCTTCCAGGGCATGTTCATCTTTATCTTCCACTGTGCCCTGCAGAAGAAGGTAATATGATAAAAGATTAGTGTTTGGGATGCATGGATGGATGAATGCATGGATGGATGAATGCATGGATGGATGGATGGATGGATGGATGGATGGATGGATGGATGGATGGATGGATGTTCAGCACATGCAGTGTGTTAGATTGATTGCATTAAGTACATTTTGCTGTAGCCTTGTGTTAAAAGCCTCTGTTGCTTCACATTGCATCCACCCTAAGTGTTTGTGTTTATGAGTGGCTTTAAAACATTCCTGTAGTGCTGGTGGTGACTTTTTTTTTTTTTTTTTTACAGGTCCATAAGGAGTACAGTAAGTGTCTGCGTCACTCCTACTGCTGCAGCCGCACCTCCACCACCAGCTCCCACGGCTCCCTGAAGAACTCAGGTCTGCGTGCCAACAACCGCTACTACAGCGGCAGCCAAGCTCGCCATGCAGCGGCCCACAGACAGGTGGGGGCAGGATAGACCCACACATAAAACTACGGCACACACAAAGCAGTATGCACACACACAGTGCAGGCGCACCTGTGTGTTCATTTTCACACATCAATCAGACCACTGTTGAGTTTTAAAATTGTGTTTTTCTTAGAACAAATGAAAAGTAGATCTGCCTATGCGGCAAGATGATTTTACTCATTTTCAGCATAAATCAGCTTATTTCAGAGGAATGACTTTTTTTTTTTTTTTTTGCAGCACTCTCAAAAAATAGTGTCAAAACAAAATAAATAACCTTAGAAAGGAGGGAAGTGTCCTCACCATGCTGCTATATTCTTTTTTGCCTTATTTAAAAGGTCTGTTATGTAAGATTCTGAAGTATGAAATGAGTGTATCTGCGGGGGTTTGATTGCTGATCAATACCGATGACTCACCGATTACTTGGCGAAGCACTTGAATTTGTTTACTTAACTTACCCTTCAGCCCACAGTCACGTTGTTTTCATTTGCCAGTGACAAAGAGAAGCGCGGCGTGTGAAACAGCAGTGTTGCTATACATTTTGTTCCAAGTGACATAACGGTATTAAAGCTTGTTACATGGTGATCTACAGTGTGATGTGTTCATTAGATGATTCTGGTGAAAATCTGCTCAAATTAGCCAGCTTACACACCTCTGTTGTGAAATTTCACTTTTATGTTTGAATCCATTGCTGGCAGCCCCGGTGCTTACCGGAGAGTAGATGACTCATTAATAAAGATATCCTTTGAAGTCCGTGTGCTATATATAGACACGGGCACCATACAAGACATCTGGAAGTACTGTGCATGCTGGCATATGTGTAATGGCACACACACACACACACACACACACACACACACACACACACTAATAGTGAGTCCTCACAAACAAGCTTTTCCCACAATATAATAAGACGCTTCCAAATAACAATATCAGCTACTGCAATCATGTCTTGAGTTTATTAGCGCCCCTCATGATAACATGACATAGCTGTGTGCCCATTTACCCAACGCCTCTGTCTCTTTATCTGGCTTGTTTGCCTATTGTTCTTTGTGGATTAGAGCGAGCCCAACCGTTTTGATTACAGCAGCCCCACTGAGTTACAAAGTCTACCCGCCGTGTTTCTATATTTAACTTGTTGTCTGTTTGCTGCCGCTCACTGCGCTCTGCTCCCTCTTCCAGAGTCGGATCCGCAGGATGTGGAACGACACGGTTCGGAAGCAGACAGAATCTTCTTTCATGGCGGGAGATATCAACAGCACCCCGACACTGAACCGCGGTGAGGCCATACTCTGTTACTGCTCTGCTTCCCCTTCATTAAGCTATGCACGCTTAAATGCACACAAATACATATTCACATACATACACATTCTAATATATTACACAAGTGAAGACAATCGAACAAAAAAGAAAAACCATGAGAGTGTACAGAGCCAAGAAAAGTACCATTATTCAGTGTTAAATGTGTGTAAATGACAGTATACAGGACAAGGCCTTGTGAATAAGGCTAACTAATGATTCAGATTTCCTTGCAGCAAATGGGCCAGCCAGCAAACGGCAGTTAGTGGCAGCAGTAGCTTAAATTAAACATCATATGGTTGAAGGCTGGTTGGTGGGTGGGTGGTGGGTTTGAGTTTGCAGTGCAGTGGCAGCCACTGGTCAGTAAAAGCGCTTAGCAGCAGCAGAAATATATGAAACCCAACGTCTCTGTTATGTGGATACGTGTGTGGGTGTGCGGTTGGTGTTAGTGAGTTCATATGCCAGTGATGCGCCATGTGTTGCTGTAATTAAGCCTATTCAAGTGTATTTTTGAGTTTGTGAGTCAATAATGTTAAGTTAACTTAAAGAAGGAGGCTATGTAGTCATTAGACCATATCTTAGTTCACATCTCTCAAGGAGTATAATTCCTTTTTTCATCTCTCCACAAACGGTTTGTAGCCATTGGCAGAGAAAAGTCTGTTTTGCTTTATTTGTTCATTTTAATTTCTGATTTCCAGTTTTTCATTAAAAAAAAATGTAATTTGAACAAGGATGGAGACAGACAATATATCACAATATATTGTGTCATGGTCTCTGTTGTATATTTTCCACATAAGTTACACAGAAATCTTGTTGTGTCAGGCCGTGTGTCACAAAATTACAGGTGTTGTGACCATCATTATGGCAAAATACTGCAATACAACTGAACTCTCTCCTCTCAGGCTTTTGTGGTTGCATGGGATTAATCACATCCGAACACACCTCCGTATCTTCTCTACGTGAATGCAGTGACGCATGCAGTCCCCTCTGAACTCTGCACAGCGCATGAATAGGGCATTAGGAATTATTAAGATAGTGATTGTCTCACCCTCAGCAACCGGTGGCGTCACCGATGCAGCCATCAGTGACACTGAGACGATCAAGGTTGGCTCAGGTTCCAGATTTTGGGGTGGGGGGGTGGGGGTGTTGATGATGACACAGAAGCAGTTGCTAACTCAGCCGTCACTCTCTATGCTAATTTCATCCATTTTGTTTTTAATGAACTGATTACCGTGTGAGCGAACAGGGCGTAATTATTCTAATTGAGGAGAGTGACAGGAGCAAGGCAGGGGGTGAGGAAGAGGGGTGCTACAAGTGAGCTGGATGGATGAGGTGTGTGTGTGTGTGTGTGTGTGTGTGTGTGTGAGGGGTGTGAATGTGTTGTGTGTGTGTGTGTGTGTTGCTGTGTGTGTGTGTCGTTGTGTGTGGTGGTGTGATTGTGATTGTGTGTGTTGTGCTGGTGTGCCTGTGGTCGTCGTGCGTGGACGCGGGCGGAGTCGGGTATTCCGTGGCTTTTGTCACGAATACAGCAGGCCTGGAGGAGATGCACAATTGTGGATCATTCCATGTTGTGCTGTCAAACACAAACAACTGTGCTGCGAAGTCCTTTATTTTCTGTGCCTTCTGAGAAAAGTTTGTTCAGTTGGCAGAAAATGGAGGACCGAAGCGGGAGCACGGGAGGGAGGGATGGAGGGAGGAGGAGGAGGGAGGGAGGGAGGGAGGGAAGGAGAGCGAAGAGAGAGATATAGAGAAGCCCCGCTATCATGGAGGAGTAATTAAAGAGGCGAATCTGGAAGGCGAGACGCACTGCGTTGTTATCACTGGCATGCTCGGATCTCCTTTTGATTTCTCCAACTTACTTCTTCACTGAAACCCCCAATTTTCTCTTTTCCTGACATCAGTAATGGTGTCCATGAAGACAAAAGGACACACCACACACACACACACAACACACACCACCACACACCACACACACACACACCACACCACAGGCTCTCCCATGATATCCGCTTGCCCTACGTTTTTCTCCCCCATCTTAAAGACTAGGTTCCTTAATTTCTTACAGGATATTCCTATGAGGATTAGTACCACACAGGGCCAGCTAATCCCAACTAATTTTGGTGCTGTTTGAAAAAAATTTCTGGCATGAGGAACTGAAGAAAATGTGCGGTTGAGTGAGACAAAGCAGAGGCAGGCCAGAGAATGGAGCAGGGGGGCGGCGGGTTGTGTTGGCATGCCAGAAAGATGACAGGGGAAGTGTAAGAGGACAGAATATTTGACACTCAAATAGGCTGTGTGTGAGTGCATTATTTTTATTCTTTTTTTTTTTTAAAGAATTTCCCTGCCCCTTTGCCTATTTTATGAACGGTAGGCGTGGACCTTGAAGTTCCCACTTGCCTTGGACATACTCTCGCGTCATGCTGTCCCTATTTTTAATTTCATGGCATTTCCTGTTCGAAGTTGCCCCTCAGGCTGGAGCCATACATGGCGCATTATACAACATCTCAGTGTGCCATTTCTTGAATTATATTTGTCTGTTGTTGTGGCATTCACATTTCACTGTGAAATTAAGTGTGTTTCAATGGCTTGGCCACCCTTAGACTACATAATGGCATGCATTATGTTCTCCCCACATCTGACTACATTGTCAGGAGCCAAAGGGGGATAAAAAAAAAAAAAAGTATGGCAAAATGCTCCCAAACAGTTCCTTTTTCCCCCTGCAATTGTAATTCTTACTCAAAGTTAACAATCAGCAGGCTTAAATTGAGGAGGAACCACTGTTGAAATGCATTACTCCATAAAGTGTCGGCACAAAACAAAAAAATAAACCCCATCTAATAAACAGTAAAATATTTTTTGATTCCAGATGTTTATTACCGAGCCTGGAAACGTGAATTTCAAATATGCCCCTATTTGTGATGCCAGCATTTCTGCTTGTGCTTGGCTTTTTGCACTTACACTTGAGGCAAAGCATAAGCAGCCTGTTTTATGATTTCTATTCATGTTTTTTTCATTGTTTGTGTCTTGCAGCGACCATGTGGCAACCACCTTTTGACAAAACCCAGTGTTAACCAACTCCACTCGTACCTCACCTTACAACACTCTGCTGGCTGAGAGCTTCACCCCGCCCTTCACCCGGTGTCTTCAACTCTACCGGTTTAGGCTCCTCGTAAACACTCCGGTCTGTGTGCGTGCACAGTCTTGTCAGCCACATGTGTGTGTATGCCAGTATCGCTCAGCTTGCTGTCCCTCTGTCTCCCTTACTCAATGTCAGTAATTTGACATGTTACACACACACACCCCACTGCTGTGTTTGAGTGCCGCACATCGTGTATGTGTGTGTGGAGCATGGTCTGTGTGTTGTGTGTTTTTTTTGTTTTTTGTTTTTTTGTTTTTCAGACTATGTAGCTGTCAGACAGATTCACTAGGCCTGAGGGCAGAACATGTGCGGCCTAACAGTGCTACAGCCTAACCAGCCATCTGCGTTCGATAAAATTGAATCTTCATGAGAAACAGCCACAAATTGATTAGAAAGGTTTAGCTGCAGTTGTGACTGCCAGGAATCTTGAGGAACAGTTGTACTTTCCTGGGCAAGAAAAAAGCAGTCGGCTTAAATCATGAGGCCGTATAACGGTAATTCAGAACAAGCCTAGCTCAGTGGCCAAGGCACATGTCCATCTGGTATGTAGGTCGGTCAGGTGTGAGTGCTCCACTGTAAGTGCCCGCGTTGTGTGTGTTGCGTGCTTGCTTTTATCTCAGAGTGGGACTCTTTTAAAACAAGCCCTGCTCTAGCTGTTTGATCACATTGCTGCATTCCCCTGCACTCTTTGATGCCTATAACTGCTGGAATTAGACATGTTCTTGTTAATGGCTCCGCTACAGCACCAGTATTCACTTTGGTAAGGGAGAGCTTGATGACTGCGTGATGGCTAGTCTCTGGCTGAGTGTAATCAGGCCTAGTGTCTGAGGATCTGACCCAAGTGCAGCGTTTCTGGTTAAATATTTTTTAAATTCCTTCTCCGCACAATACGTCAAGCCTGATGCGCACAGCTGGCAGCCAAGACATTTTTAGCAGAGAGTGGAGAGGAAGTAGGGAGAGCACTCATTAGAATGTCTAATTACCCACAACCACCAACGAATAAGGGAGCGTTGATTAAATCACACTACACATTAAAATATTAAAAATGAACATGCTTCTCACTTTTTGGCGGCTGTGGCATTTTGCTTTGCTGTTGTGATGCGTAATTTGCCAGAAAAATAACATCTTTTGTGCTTGAAGGAAACTCTGTAAAATAAAACATTACTGCCTACTGTACAAGGTATTGCATGAATAATGTATGTATCAGGTGTACCGGGGCAGTAGAAATAAATATCAGAGCATTTTGCTTAGATGTTAATGCTGGAGGAATATAGTGTCAGACAAACAGCGACTAAGTTTGCATAATCCAAATTAATGTGATGCTGCATTGCGTTTTTTGTGCGTATGTGGTAAGAGAGTCTGGAGATTGGATGTGAGAGAGAGAGGGCAGAGAGGAGAAGGGAGGCGAATGCACAGGGATATTTTTTATTCCCTTATGGCTCCCCTTTTGAAATGTCTTTAAAAACTAATACAATTTCAAGTTAATGTTGCCATCATTAAAGAACACTTACTGACTAGTGTCTTTCATTTATTCACTCCGCACGACTTTCTCTGCGGTATGCACAGAACTTCCGCGACCCAAGTGGAGTGTAATACACCTCAGTTCACATTGTTGTTCAGGCTTACATTTTTAAACATTTCATACTTATTCTTTTTCTCTTACTGACATTTGAATCTGTCTGTGTAACCAGCGGGTTCAAACCCCTCAGTCTTTCTGTCTCTCTTCTGTTTGTGTTTGGGTCCAGAGAGCACGTTATCTAAGCGGCCCGCGACCCCTGTGGGATTGGAAACCCGCCCTTGAATGGTAACTTCAAACAACAGCTACTCCTGCGCAGTGGCCCAGGGGTGACGGTGGGGGCAGCTGTGACTTCCTAGGTAGCGGGGGTGGAGACAAGTCCCCCGCCCCTCCTCAATCCCCGCAGGCTCAGAGGCGCTGGGCGGCGGCGGCATTCGACCCGAAACCTCTCTGACGCCAGCGCCTTTGAGAAAATGATTCATCCGGAGCTTGTGCACAACCAACCAGGAGAGGTGGTGTTGGGAGGAGGGAAGTGGAGGAGGTGGGGGTGAAGTAGGGGAACCAGGGTTGTGTGCAGCCTGGCCATGGGGAACGTTCCTCACGGAGGTTCCTGGGTTGGTCCGGGGACAGTGGGTGCCGGGCCAGAGCCGTCTATGAGCCATAGATAGATGAGGACCTTTCTGAGCAGACGCGAACGGCAGCGCACCCGCAGTTATGTGGGAAGCTACTTTATAAAGCTCTGGAGAGCCCCTGCTGTTGCAGCCGCGCCAGTCTTGTCCTCTACCAAGCGCATCCAGAGGAGTCGGAGAGCTATACGGCCGACCTCACCGAGAGCCTGGGCCACATTGGCCACAGTGGCCAGGAGTGCTGAGGGGCAGCGAGGCAGCAAGAGCTCCAGACTCCGCTGCCCGTTGCACTCCCTGTACACCAGCATCACAACCTGCGAGGACTCACCCTACCCTGACAGCATCCTGCAGCCCCTGAGACGTGGCTGCCCCGCTCGGCCAGCCCCCTGAGGAGCTGTACTACAGCTCCGGGAGCCTCCCTCGGCTCTCGTATCTCTCTCTTTTT